TTGAGGCTGTTTTCGTTAGAGAGAAGAAGGTTAAGAGGTGACTTGATAGAGACATACAAGATGATCAGAGGATTAGATAGGGTGGACAGTGGGAGCCTTTTTCCTCGGATGGTGATGGCTAGCACGAGGGGACATAGCTTTAAATTGAGGGGTGATAGATATAGGACAGATGTCCGAGGTAGGTTCTTTACTCAGAGAGTATTAAGGGCGTGGAATGCCCTGCCTGCAAAAATAGTAGACTCGCCCACTTTAAGGGCATTTAAATGGTCATTGGATAAACATATGGATGATAATGGAATAGTTTAGGTTAGATGGGCTGGGCTTCAGATTGGTTTCACAGGTCAGCGCACCATCGAGGGCCGAAGGGCCTGTACTGCGCTGTAATGTTCTATGTTCTTTTCACGTACTTAGAGAAGCTTTCACAATCAGTTTGTATGTCCTCTGCAAGTTTACTTTCTTACACTCTTTTTTCACCTTATTTTTGATCCCAGGGTTGCAGAGAAGGAACCTGTGAATAAAATGTCTGTACACAACCTGGCGACAGTGTTTGGTCCCACCCTGCTCAGACCATCAGAGACAGAACACAAAGTACACACCAACACTGTGTCCGATATCTGGTCTCACGAAGTCATGGCACAGGTACAATACACTCGGTCAGCCCCTGCACAGTGTCAGGGCTCGGACATCTATGGACAGGGACATGTGGGAGAGTAGCAGTGCCCAGGCTCAGCTGGTCTTACTGGAAGGGGGTGGTCTGACCTGCTCTCATTGGAGTTGGGGCTACAACTCAGCCTCGCGCATTGCTTGTGTTCTTCCTTCTCCTGGCAGACCAACAGCTTCCCCAAGCCTCATTCACCCCTCAGTCATTCGAATGAGTCATCAGAGCTGGAATGGAACACCGGCCTTGAACAAAGGAAACTGCAGGGAGTGAGAGGAAATTGGTCAGTAACCTGCAGCTAGACCCATGCCAATAGAGTGCCATCTTTTATTCTCTGCTCCTGTAGGGACAGACAGTCATGACCAGAGCAGCATTCCTTGCCTATCCCCAAACTACCCTTGGAAAGGCAGTGAGGCAGGGATCTGCTGCATTGAGGGGGTCCCTTGGGAGAGAGGGGGCTGCAAAGCTGGCCATGGAAACATGGACTAAGGGCTGGATGAGAAATGTTGGTGGCGGGTTAAAGCTTATGGCTGAAGGGAGTACAAGAGGGACTGTGGGATGGGGGCCACAGGTTCTGGCTATGGGCACTAACACTATTTGTATCCTCACAGGTGCAAGTTCTGTTGTATTACCTGCAACATCCCCCTATCTCCATTACCGAACTGAAGCGAAATATCCTGTACTATTCCACTGATGTGTAGAGAACCTGTGTTGGGACCCTCAGAATCCTTCAAAGCAAGAGACTGTTGACCAAAATAAATTCAAAATGAAGAAAACATCACAGAGCGACTCCCATTTGGAGTTTGACCTTTATACAGTTATATGCCTGGTGCAAGATGGGGAACCCACCCTGTATTGTCCTGTCCTGTTTATTATGTGTATAAGCACTGTTGGCTGCCCATCCTTTGCATTCTGTCCCTCGCATGGTGCATTTGTCTTGTTTATTCCTGGAGCTGTCAGAAATTCACAGAAGGCTCTAATCTCCTGCTCCTGGATCTGCTGTAATTGCACGGATATTGAGACTCTGATGGGGCAGCAAACAGTTCATAACCAAGCAGGGAACATCAGCAGGAGTCAGGTGGATCTTTACTGGAGCCTGATTTTGGAGTGTGCCTCAACATTGGCATTGACTGTGATTAGCATTTCATACACTCCTCTGGTTATTAGTAACCTTTTTGCTTGATATAAATTGTTTTACACCTGTAGATTATTTTGACCCTCTGTGGGTGACACGGTCATGATTAAATAAAATTAACGTAATATTTGCATAAAAGATGCCACCTGCAGTTTGATATAACATTGTCTTCCTGTGCAATCTCACTCAGACAGACCAAGTGATTAGTTTGTGTCTGTTTTCACATTGGAACATTTAACCAGATCTACTCCCCCTCCCTTTGATGGGGCACCAACCTGACCCACCTTGCCGGGGGGTGGGGAATCTCTCCCCCTGATCCCCCCCGGGTGAATCTCTCTCTCTCTCCCCCCCCCCCCCCCCCCCCCCCCCCCCCTCCCA